GTATTGCTGTTAATATTAAAAGCAGCATCAGATCTCAGAAGGTACAGCGCAAATCTGCCCACAGTTGTTTCGAAGTTGGAGAAGCAACTGGTTAAAGGTTACTCCTTGCCTGCAGAAGAACTATGAATTGAGTTTCAAAGGCAGGCATAGACTCACAATTGCTTTCTATGTGGAGATCTGGTGACCCAGGAGTGCCAGTACTGGCTGATTTCCCCATGTTCTTCTGATCTTCTGGCCATAGCTGAATTTTTCATTGACCAACACACTACACTGAAGAGACCCAAGAATTCACTACAGATATTTTACATTCAGCTGTAGGACCTGAAAACTTCCCATTCAATGATTTTTATAACTGACTATCAACAGAAAGCATCCCTCATTCATATGAAAACCTCTTCTTCTCTCAGAGAAAAAAAAGCTGAATGTACTACAAACATTAGTGAGGAAAAGCTACAAAATCATCAAGGTAACAGGTCAACATATAAGGAGAGAATAAATGGGTTCAGACTTACCTTATTCACCAAGGCAAAGAAGGTAAGAGAAATGGATGGAAGAGCCTTGAGTTGCTCAGGTTTTTATACTGAGTCCCAGGTTGCCCAACAACTTGGGACATTCTTTGTGCATGAAGTTATTTATGAGCCACTACTGATTACATGTTTTTTTTCCTCAGTATTTGTGTTTATTACTGCTTCACTTCCTTATCTTGTGGCATGCATATCTGACCACAAGTTTCTTTCATCTTAAAATATTCTGAGCTAAGTTAATTTCTGGGAACACTAGAATGATTAATTCAGAAGAATTTATTCTGCCTTCAAAACGCTTTTGGATCTGCTTGGTGTCATTAAAGGAGATTAGCATAATTTACATAATGGAGTCCCTCGAACCCTTCTCTGCAAGGTAAATACTGTTGGAAATCATTAGGAATTTCAGCTTTTGGAAGTTACCCATGAGCACTTATAGTTTGGAGATTCAAGCTGCTTTTAAGGAAAAAAGACAGGACACTGATATTTTATTTTATTTTTTTTTTTTTTAGAAAATGATCAGGAATACACACACAATTTTTACCCAACTCCAGCCCCCAAATGAGAGAAGAAGCACAAATACTGTTAAGAGGGAATGACAACAAAGAACCCTGTGAAAGTCAGGAATAACTGAACAGTGTTATGGCTGCATACAAAGGCTGAGTTACAGCTAGAATAACATATAATAGACTGCTTCTTTGACATGGAAGAAGAAACAAAAAAGAATATTAGAATTCTAGTCTAACAACAAAATATCAAATGATAGCACTCCTGTGGAAGGCTGTCTCTATTCCAGGGTCTGATCTCTTAGGAGTCCTTTATCTAAAGAATCCACAGATCCACTTTTATTCTTATCTCAGACCTCAAAAGAGCAGCAACTGTTTTTAGGTTAACTTCCACATGCATAAATATGCTGCATTGCTTGGTGATGTTTGTTCTCAAGGAAGACTTCTGCAAAAGATAAGGCTTTGCAAAACTCAGCTGTGGAGGCAGAAGTCACATACAAGAATTCTCCCTTTGTTATTGCAGCATTCATTTCTCCAGCTGTCCCTGCAGTGTCTGGCACAGATGCGTTGTAGACCCATGGTAGCCCATTGGAGAAGTGTCAAAAGTATATAAAGTGTTAATAATTTCTTCACTTGCAGTCATTTTTTCTGTCACTTTACAGCAGCCTTTGGATTGCACAATGAAATTCAACCTCTTCTATAGCGGGGGTGGGGAGTTGCAGGATAAAGGGATAAAGGTAAAGGGATAAAATACATAAGCAATCCTAGACACAGAGATTAGTAGTCAGGTTTTTGCTCTCCTAGCACTTTAACTACTGAGGCATGTAAATCATCTCTAAATTATGAGGGACTTTGTGAAGATCCCCTGGGAACAGAAACTTGTTTGGCTTGGTCATAGGTTCCTGAGAACTTAAAAGTTTATCAGAAGCTATTATTAAAGTTCTAGGCATGCAAAGTATCATATTATGTGCAAATTTAAGATATGTGACCCATATTTGAATTCACATATCCCTTCTGTAATAATACATTATTAAGATTTAGAAGTGTAGGTCAGTCATTGGTTCTAAAATTTGTGTCATTGTTCCTGGCTGCAGGAATTACAGCTATTTTATTTTTAATTTAAAAATAGCTCAAGGTTTGGTTTAAGCCATCTCATATTTCAAGGAGATTCTCAAATAAACTTCACCAACCCTGTCCATTCCTCAGTAATTCTCTATATTCTAAGGAATTAACAGGCTTTTTCAGAACACATCCTCTCCAACAGCTGGCATCTAGAAACTATTTGAGGAATTAATTTGCATAACAGTATCCATAGATTTGTTTTGTTTTGTTTTGTTTTTTATTCTTCCTTCATCCGAGCTCTGCTTGGAAAACACAAACTAATTTAAAAATCAAACTATGAGTTTAAAAAAAAAATATATCTAACAACTTTTTCAGAGATATCTATAGACTTCCTTGAAAATAATTACAATCATTATTGTTCTAACTCCAGCCACTTTATTGTGCAGTCAGAATGACTTAATTGCCTGATCTTTGAGATGAATTAAAGTGAGCGAAGCAGAAGTTCACAGCTTTTTCTGTATAATCAAGGACAAGCCTACATATTCAGATTCTAATTAAAACTTCTTGCGTAATGTGAGAACATCCTCCTGAGACACCTGTGAGTGACTAAATGCCTGGAAAAAAAAAAAAAAATTCTTAATCAAAATGGAACTGGAAGCTTACTCACAGTAATCCTCACATAATGGCTCCAGACACAAAAGTGACCCCAGAATCTGTGCATGGAGAAACAGATGCAGAGAAAATGGGAGTTTCCCTGGCAAGAAGAGTGCCATCTGCAATAAATTTTGAATCGTAATTAATTAGCTCATTGTAAAGAAATGGATGCCTCAGAGGCTTTGAGCAGTTGAACAAATCCATGAAAATTATTGCAACTCAGAACTCTCCTGTGCTATTCCCTTCTCTTACCATTCACAACAGCTCTGAGAGTTCTTGCTTTTATCTCAGCCCTCGTTCTTAGCTAATTGTACTAATATAGATGCTTATTGACACCATTAGCAACAGCTTGCGTATGCTCCATGGCCGGCTTAAGTTCACACAATGATCTACGGCACCTGGTTCCAGGCCACTAAGAGTGAACTCTGCTAAAGCCTCATGGTATTAGCAATTTATGGTTTATTGCTTAAAACAGAAGGTGTAGCTATAGCTTAAGGTCGTTTAGTTCAGTCAAGCTGGATGCCTCTGCATGGCATTGCTCTTTCTGTTGCAACCCACCACTCATAATTTTCTGTAATTTGTTGTTTGGCCCAGGCAGCTGCCTTTCAATGTAGGCAGTGCCTGCAACTCTTGCTTCACAACTTCAGTTTCTGCTGCTTAAGTAGCTCCCCTGAAGGCAAAGGTGTTCAAATATAGGTAGATATGTAGTCCTCAAAGTTCATACCTGAACATAGCTATTTTAATAGTTAATGCTGTTCAAATACTGTTATGAAGAACTTTAAAATGATTAAAGGTTGAGGTCTGTTTTTTCATCTTACTATGGTCTAATAATCTTAAATAATTTATGTTAAAGTTTCCCTTTTGGGGAAAAAAAAAAAAAAAAAAAAAGTGTAACTACTACATACAGATCTGTGGAGTATTTCTGCAAAAAGCCAGGTATAGTGTGGTTGTTCTGCTATAATTCGATGGGGAACTGTACAAGAAAAAAACAACAAAAATTAATTTGTGCTGAAGGGAGGAAGTTATTTACTCTCCAGAACCTTTGCAAAACACCACACCCAAAATGGGTGGGCTTTAGTTGCTTTTCAAATGTCTTTGAATAATTTTTCAAATGCAGATTTTAATTATATTTCAAATTGCAAGTGTACAAATACTAGTTCTGTACCCATGGCCTTACTGTGTCAGATCCACCTTCCTTGCAGAACAATGTCTTGGTGCCACCAGGACCAATGAATGTGTACTTCTAATCCATCACCTCAGAGCAAGAGATTGCCTATAATCATTGGTATAAACCCTTCTCACAAGGAATCTTTTCTTTCTGCCAAGGATTACATGAGATATCACTCACATGCATTTTATTGCAATTACATGCCAAGACCCTGATTTTACATTTACTTCCATTATTTACTGAGGAAATAAAAGATTACAGCCTACTCATTCGAAGCTGGAGACCCAGGACTAACACGCATTCATATAAAGCCTTTCCATCCCAGGTTAAGAAGAGAAGGGGTTTCATACTCAAAATAAACTTTGAAATTACAGACTTTTCCATGGGGTAAAAATCCAGCCTGTCATTTAACTCCACAGTTGCCTGCAACCGGTCAGTGTACACAAGTACCTCTGTCAAACCCAACTACTTCAGCACCAGCTCGTGAAGACCCACACAGAGGCACCAGGAACTTGGCTACAACATGAGTTACAAATCTACATTTAAGTAGCCTCAGATCGGCATTAATTACAAAAAATACTCAATATAATTTACAGGGGCACAGGTGTCCTCTTAGAGCATTCCCCTCAAAATCCCTATGGTCTTTTCTCTTTGGGGTCCCACTTTGCTCAGACCATGGCCATCAGAAATGCTTTCTGATGAACAAGAGGAATTTCGTAACAAGCGGTTTAAGCGTATGGTTTTACCCGGCTGCTGAAAGGCAGAGTTGGGGAAGGAAAAGTGGCAAATCTATAGTACTTGTAGACAAAGTGTCTACTCTGTATCTAGGATCTCCTTTGCTACAGTGTATCTAATTTATTTTCACAAAAAAGCCTCTACTTTGTTAAAAAATATCTACTTTGTATATACAATGTTCCCAAAGGTTCCTGGCTGTAAAAAGATTACTTGGCATAGAGGTCATCAACCGAAATCCTTATTTCTAGTCAGCGTGAAAAAATAGCTTTCAATTAATAAAACAGAGGAACAGTAAGAAATGTTACAAAAAGTGAGCTGATAAAAGTTTTTCAAACAAACACAATGACACTTGAATTGTGATGCAGCATAACTTTAATGAGAGCAAAAAGTGGAATAAAAAAGTACAAAGTATAATTATATATTTCTAGGATTCAGTAAGACAACAGCTAATATGTCTTTTCAACTTGGATTTCTTTTCTCAGTGCTGCTGTGAACTGAGACAATAAAGTCCCATCTACAGCAATAGAAAAAAAAAATTCATCAGAAGTATGAAGTATTCAAAGAATAAGACAAGCAAAGGCCTGATTTTAGGAGATGACAGGCTCCCACAGCTCCATTAACTTCAGGTGGAGTTGTGGGTGTCTAACATCACTTCTGAAATCCATGGCCATGAGCTCAGTCCTGCGTCGGGTCGTGCTTCAGCATTCCTGGTCATCTTCCTGCTTGCTCCTCACGCTTTAGCACGGCTCAGTAAAGTCACTGCGGTAGGTGTTGTAGCGACGGTAGGGCCGGCTGTACCCACTGCCTGAATAGCCAAAGCTCCCAAATCCTGAGGAGTTGCCGGAGGAGATGGGCACACCCTCGGAGCTGAGGGTGCTGCCCACGTCTGCGGATGCTGAGGATCCCACGGCGGTGTTCTGGGGGAAGGAGCTGAGGATGGGGCCGGGCAGGGTCACCACCACGGGAGAGGGCTGGATCACGTATGTTGATTCCTGGCACTGCCTGACGCAGGGCTCGTTGCAGCTATTTGCCAGCGGGGTTGGGCCACAGGGGGTGGGAGGACACAGGTCGTAGCAAGACATGGCTGCGGGACAGATGGTAGGCTGAAATCCAAGGAAGAAAGTAAATGCGATATAAAAGTTGCATTAAATTCATAATAATCAGGTAAGAGGATAACATGTGAAAGTGCCTAGAGAAGGTGGTGAGAGAAGTAATCACATATTAGATCAAAATCCACAGAAGGCAGTCTGAAAATGTCATAAAGGTTTCTCTTAGTTTTATAAAGCTGCTGGAGGATGTCTCCTCTCCGCAGCTGGCCTCTGAACTTTGGTGCGAGTCATGGTAACATTTACCCTAACCCTTAGGAGCAAAAGCATTTCCCATTCTTTGGTAGTGTCCCTTGTACTGTCTCTCTGAATAAGGTACAAATGTGACTGTACCAGGAGATGAAGAAAAGCTGGAGCTGTCATCATACATGGAAAGTGGCCCTGAGCTGAACATTGACACAGAATTGGGTTTAGTGCCTTAATGCTACAACTTAGTCACTAATAGCCCAGCAAGCAGCATTTGCAGAACTATAGAAAAGTGTTTGACAAACACCCTTTGTTTTCAAGTGTCATATGACCAAAACAGACAAAATTGGAGTGCAAAGAAGGATTATTTTCTGCATCAGAGGTTTCTGCCTTGATTTGAATTCAATGTATTTGAGTGTGCTGGGATACCTGCTCTTCTGCCTGTGAAAATAAGGAGTTGGGGATAGAACCTGGAGCGCAGCACATTTTTTTTTTTTTTTTTTTGACAGTCCTAGTTTCTTAAGATGAGACTTAAGAAGATCTGTTATTTCCAGCCAATTTCATTGACTAGTTACTCCTTTAGCATAGGTCTCTAAAATGGAGCATGCAGCAGCTTGTTCTGAGAGACAGTATTGACAGCATCCTCTAAGTCCTGTCACGTTACACACTGCTTCACAAGTAAATAAAGCCTTTCTTTTTGATAGAAGTAAGCTTTTCGAATTTTCCTTCCCAAAGGGAAAAAAGCTAGCAATATTTATAAGAACTAAGAATAACCAAAAAAAAAAAAAAAAAAAAAAAAAAAAAAAAAGCAGTCATCAAAGTAACATTTTAGCATTTAAAAAGACACTGGGTAGATTCAGACTTACCTGTTCACCTGGGCGAATAAAGCAAGAGAAGTGGATGGAAGAGTCTTGCGTCGTATAGGCTTTTATACCATGTTCCAGACTGCCTGCAGACCAGAGACATATATCATGTATTAAATTATTTAATGATCGGTGCTTTGGCATGCAAAATCCACCAAATTGATCAAATTTTTTTTTTTTTTTTTCTTTCAAAATGTCTTTTAGTATTGCTCTGTTTTTTCCCCTCCTCTTATTACATTCACATTCCAGAGTAGACAAAGCTTTCATCTTCACCAATGTGTACCCACTTAATTGCTTGGAAGACTGTGGTGACTCATTTGAATTACAGCAGTAATTATGTTGCTTCCTAAGGCCAATGTACATTTTATGCTTCATTTTAGTCATCAAGACACTGCTTAAGGGGACTGTATGCGATGCATAGTCCTTATTCAAGACTTCACTCCTTTAGGTGAATAATCATTTAGCTCTGAGGTGGGGGCCTGGGCTCAATTCACAAACATTTCCATTTTAAGGACTCAGCTTTACCACAAGACAAGATATATAATAGGTATTCCTAAATTTTGCACTTCTGCACTGTTTCAATCCCACACAAACACACAGCTCAGAAGAGCACCAAATTTCCATGAGGATTGCAAAGGTTAAAGAAAATTAAGACTGGTGAGAATTGCTGACCAGAGACAATGAAACACGTTCTATAACTGCTTGGGCTAACCCACAGTTTTCCCTGTTGGTATGAATACAGCTAATATATACACATGTAAGACTGCATTTCTTGACTCATTCATAAATTTTAACTTCATTTTCCATACCAAAGTCAAACAAACACACTTTTAATGAAAGAGCTTGATTACTTGATTTTATTACTTTGTGACATTTATTAACCACCTGTAAGTATCAACATTGATTTCTGTTCAGTCTCTCAGCTAAGGAATCACCATTATTCCTACCCTAAATCTCAGGAAGGCACCAGGATGTCCAGAAATTTTCATATCAAATTAAGTATGAATGTGCAAGTTTGCAGGTATTAGTTCCTAGAGGCAGTGCTCTGCCTGAGCCAAACTACAGCATCAGTAGAAGCTATACCCAGCAGTTCTCCATTACATTTTTCATTACATGATTTGTTTCACCTCTGCCCTGGCTCTACTCCAACTTGCTGGAAATACTCACACAGATGGAAAGTATGCTAAAAGCAGGGATCAGATCTCTCCTCTTAGCACCACTGTCCCATAGCAAGAGATATGAATTAACTCTAAATGAAGAGTGTCTACACATAGTCTGGTCTTGGTCTTCAGAAGATCAAAGGACTTTAAAGTTCGGAACAGCTTTTCACTAATGGCTCAAATATGCAAAGTTTCTTGCTACCTAATGTTCAAGGTACGTGACAAGATCTCAGCTCTCACATCACCTGGCTAATAACCTAATTTCAAAGTGTGTGAGTCAAGATCACTCAAAGGACTTCACATACTAATTCAAGGTAAACACCTTCTGAAACTTTAATTATTTTATTAAAATTTTTCATAATTTATTTTAAAAAATAAAGCCAAACCTTCAACCTCTGTAAAATCACATAACCCTACATATTTTAATGATTCTCCACAAGAAAATTCTCCTCTACTTTTCTATAAAAGAAAGAAAGTTTTATTCTCCCTTTCCTCAAAGTCTCTACTATCCAACATACCACCTGTAGTTTTTTATACACTGTAAAAAGATATTTCCTTATAGTAGGTGAAAACTATCACTCACCTGGAGAATTCATTTCCCTTTCATCTGTAAAATGAGATAGCCAAGGAATACTAACTTTTCCTCATTCTTCCCTCTAGGGACATAAACAGTTCTTTTTGGAGGGTGTATAATATTTTAGAAATGGACTCATTAACAGCCTGGAAATGTTTTCACTGATATTCTGCCAGTTTAGCCTAATTAGCAGCTAGAGTTCATCCAAAAGACTGAGAACCTTTGGATCTTGCTTTTTGGGACTAGTAAGGCTGGTGAACCAGGACATCACATCTCTCAGTTATGGATCAGTAATGGATCCACACACATTCCACACACTCAATTAAAACCCTTTTGTAACAACAGAGTGCTCCCATGGCAGGCTGGTGAACTACCAAATTGACAAAGAGCTGACAAATTACTTACATGAATTGAAATTTGTATCATCTTTATGTTGACTTCAGAGGCTTGAGTGTAATAGTACAACGCATTCAAACGATCCACAGGTCTCTGAGATTAAAGAAGCTTTGAGGAAGGCTTTTCATCTGGTGCCAGGATGAAACTAGACTGGTACACGAACTATAAGCAATTTAACTACTGGGAGCAATTTAACTGTTGGAGACAATTTAACCAACTGCAACAGAATTTATATAACAGGAATTATTTGCATGCTTCAAACCTTCCCAACATTAAAATCTCTTCAATTTTTCTCCAAAAGCCGTTGTTTTAGTAGCTTCAGTGGATGTTGCAAATCTGGCTTAAAGTTCAGGTCCTTACTTTTAGCAAAAAACATTTTACTTTTGAGGGTTTCTAAAAGTTTTAATGCCTACAAGTGTCCTATATTTATTTTATCTTCACATGATTCATTCCCTGAACATGAGATTTTTGTTGGAATTCTGTAGAGCTGCAGCCAGGACGGTACAGACAACCAGGTTTTTATAAGGAACCCTAAAATACACAGTACTTATGAAGTAAATAGCAGGTAAATAGATCAAACAGTTTTGCTCTCTGTCACAAAAAGTTAATGTGCATGCCTCCTTTGAGACTTCTGTTGCCATTCATATTTTACTTCACAAATCCAAGCATTCAAGCAACGATTTGACGGTAAAAGAATGTAAATCTTTATTTGCACCCTCCAGCTCCAGGTCAGAGTTACTGAGAGTGTGAATCACAACAGGATTCCTTAAAACAAATATCATTATATGCTAGACTAGATACCCTGTCATTCTGTTAGCTCATAAAATACTTCCAGCCTTCAGAATAATTTCTTGGCAGAGATGCAGAAAGCCAAGTATTATGATGACGCAGTGTGGAATCAGTGTGCATTTCATCTGCAAAATTAAATATTTCCTTGATCTTGAGCTCTAAACAAATGTTCTCCCCTTACTAGTGGCTCCAGTAGTATTCATATCATGTCTCTGCCTGATAGTGATGATCTACACAGTGATGAATTTAACTCAAAAGGAGGCATTAGTGGAAGGAAAAAATAACAGAAGACTGGAGATATGATAAAAGCATAACTTTAATAATACCAAAGATACTAAATACTGTAAAGCAACAGGTTTCAATATGGGAAAAAATGGCACACCTCATGGTGATGTATTCCACAGACAGATCTCTTCTTTCAGTGTAGCATTGCACCTCGACAATCAAGTCTCATCTACTGTCTAAACTGTAAGCTTTACACCAGGCAGTATCAAATACAGTGATGCGCAGCAGAACTACATACCTGATTAGAAATATAAAGTAGTATAATAAGAGTAGGGGCTTCATTTTAGGGAATGACTAAATTCCACAGCTCCATTAACTTCAGGTGGAGTTGTGGGTGTCTAACATCACTTCTGAAAACCATGGCCATGAGCTCAGTCCTGCATCAGGTCGTGCTTCAGCATTCCTGGTCATCTTCCTGTTTGCTCCTCACGCTTTAGCACGGCCCATAGAAGCCACTGCGGTAGGTGTTGTAGCGACGGTAGGGCCGGCTGTACCCACTGCCCAGACCTGGATAGCCAAAGCTCCCAAATCCCAAGGAGCTGCCAGAGGAGATGGGCACACCCTCGGAGCTGAGAGCACTCCCGATGGCTGCGGATGCTGAGGATCCCACAGCGGTGTTCTGGGGGAAGGAGCTGAGGATGGGGCCGGGCAGGGTCACCACCACGGGAGAGGGCTGGATCACCACTGTCGAGTCCTGGCACTGCCTGACGCAGGGCTCGTTGCAGCTGTTGGCAAGCGGGGTTGGGCCACAGGGGGTGGGAGGACACAGGTCGTAGCAAGACATGGCTGTGGGATGGAGGTGAGTCTGAAATATAGGACCAGAAATGAATGCAAAGTAGGAGTCTTATTGCACTTACATTTACTCCACTCAGGTATCAGGACCACAGGAGCTTTCCAACGATCCCTTCAGGAGTTGAGTGGTGAGGGAGTTGAGCAGGAAACTGTGTTCTTAAACATGCTACAAGAATAAAGAGGCTGAAATAATCCTCTCTCAGTTGTTGGTGATCCAACAACTGTTGGAATAGCTGGCAGAAGAACAGAAGTACCTGTTTCATAATTTTAGTATTTTGATTGGCTGTATGTCTGGAAAGGCACTACTGAGACCCAGCTCCAGGTATTCAGAGAATTGTAGAAGTAGTAATTATGAGTAATACCTGGCCACAAACGTACTTATGGATAGAGTTCAATAGACAGCTGGAAAATTAAATTAAGAATTATTCTTCAGTTTCCAACTTCACCCATAAAAAGGTACAAATTTCAATATTATTAATCATACTCAAAGCTGAGGTCTTTGGAAATCTTTCCCAGACAACTGGTCCACAGACGTGTCATCTATGAGATAGCCAGGAGTTCCCTGCATACTCCCTGTGTCTGGTTCCAACACACCAATAAACATAAAACTTGCTATTTCCTATACACATCTCAGTCTGCTGGGTGCTCAGCTCTCTATTTTTTTTCTGTTCTTTCCCCTTGTTCTCACAGTCCCTGAAACCACTTCTCTAAACTTTCAGGAGATGTCATTGCACCCTGTAACATAATTTCAAAACTTGACAACTGTAAGACAGCAAGCAGAATTTGTTGATGATATCTATCATACTGAAGTCCATGTTGATTCCTATAGCAGAAGAAGGTTGAGGATATGTGATTAGAGCCAATAACCTTGATGAACTCAGCATGACTATTCCTTCTAATCTCAGTATGCAGCTTTGTTTTGTCTTCATTTAGAAAGTGACATTTAGAGCTCAAAAACTTGTGGTTCAACATAATTGATTTTTAAAACCCTCAAACCTGTGCTTTAAACCTTCCTAGTTTCCTTGCTCTCCAGCTGTTTCTTTTAGTATCTGGTTCATTTTACCCTCTTGTTTCCCACTGTGCCCAGTAATAGATTCATCATAGCAAAAATGGAAACACTGAAACAGCCTCCCATGGAATAAACAGCAAATGAAAGGATTTTTCTGGATGGCATTTCTGAAGATAAATACATCCACATCCTTTACAAACACTGTTGTTTTCATAACAACCCAGGTGAATTTTCAGGCATTACAGATAATGGATAAGACCCTTACAGATATAAAACACACATTACTACTTGAAAGATGACTGAGCACAGATATCTCTGTAATCAAAATCATTGAATGGTTTGAGTTGGAAGGGACCTTTAAAGCTCACCTAGTTCCAACTCTCTTGTATAGGTAGTATACCCATTAAGTTTGTTAATCTTCATTAATATTCTAACAACAAAAACCCAGCTTTTTAAACAGCAAAAGTCTTCCCCCAACCAATCCAGCAACTAGCAGAATACTGTGGAGAAAAAAGAACAGCAATCAAATTCTCATGAAGGCAAGAATTCAGCAAATAGAAAAAGAGAAGTAGATTCGAACTAACCTTGTTCACAAAAGAGGAAAAAGGTAAGAGAAGTTGTAGGAAGGCCCTTGAGTAGAGTTTGCTTTTATACTGCATCTTGGATGGCCTGAGGACCACAGACATCCTTTGTGCATGAGATTATTTACCAGCGAGTATGTCCTGAATGCAAAATGCTTCCAGCTGATTAAATGTCTTTTCCTTACTTTGTTTACTACTTTGTTTTGATTTCCTTATCTTCTGACACACATAATCCATCATACAAGTTTCTCTCATCTTCTGGTATTATTGACCAAATTTATTCTAGTGCCACCTTTCAGTCACAACAAAATTTATGCTCCAGTGTGTGTTTCACTTGAGTCATAAGGAAAAATATTAAGGAAAATTCATACAAAACATAGTTTATCATTCAAATGTGTTCTTTTATTAAGAATATGAGTTTAAATCCTTAATAAATTCTGGTCTCCACCAATTTTTACAAAGCTCTGACTCCGGCCAATTATATGAACAACCTAGGCTGAACTTCTGTGTTTTGTGAAGGTCTTGCAAAAGCACAAGCATATACACACCTGAAATCCCACTGAATCCCACAAGAATCAGAACCCTGTGTGAAATTCAGAGAAAAATACTATTACATCAAATTTGGATACTATCACCCTGTTATACTTCAGTAACACAGTTTGAAGAACAACTGATAACACATGGGGACATTTAAACAATTTATCAGCTATTTTTAAGAAGGGAACCTGTAACTCCCTTTTGTACCATCTCAGACCACAATGTGAATAGCACTTCACAAGTCATCTTGAGAACACATATGAGTTTTAAACTATTTTGAGGTATTATTGTTGCACAAACTTAACTGTGGAGTCATTGGACAAAAGTAAAAACAAACCAAAACACCCTCACTAGGGCTTTTTTGTCCTTATATGTTTTCCCTCACTATAGACAGCAGTAGAACAGTGGTTACATAGCAGACTGATGGAAGTTTATTGCGTAAATAGAATATATATAAAAAATTTTAATACGGTTTTTAACTTTACTTTCAATCTCTCCTGTACAAGCTGCAGGGTTTGAACCGCTCCTTGGAGAAGAGTTATTAAATGTTGTGCATGAGGATTCGTAGACATTTGGGAAATAAAAACTCTTGGTCTTAGGTTTCTAAAGAAGAAGGGCTTCAAAGTCCTTCACAGTTTTCATTAACAATGTGCATATTCACAGAATTAAGTAATCAAATTGTTCATGATATATGATGAGGTGTTAACACCCTCATCATCCATCCAATAAGATGTCTTTAAAAATCTCTGAACCAAGATCATTCTTTGCCATCTATAAGCTCACACATAGGTTTATGCCTTCACAAAGTGAAACCAGTTGTATTTTAACAGACTACGAAAACCAACACTGAACAATTCTATAAAGAAAACAAATTTTTGAACTGCTTTTCATATTTCAATAATATTATCTAAAGTGACCCACCTACGCTCTTAAATATTTCCCTTCCTTTCCAGACCTAAACAATGCTACCAACCCATAAACATTTAAACATGTACATTTTTGAAATACAAATACTTCTGTAGCATTAGGTGTTTACTGGCAACCTCGTGAATTAATTTTCCTGTAAAACTTGTAACAATATCCACAGACGTTTTCAACACTTTTGTTCTACTTTCTTCTATTAATACAAGAGCTTCTATTTGGTATACTACCTAATATTTTGAAATCACCACAGTATTTTCAAAAAGACTCCCGAACTGTCTCCTGACCATGGATCAACTCCAGATCAGTCTGACTGGCTCAAAAAACTCATCCAAGGGGTGTGAAGTCCTCCTTGAACTCCTCCTTGGAGATTTTTTTCAAAGACAGTGAACAAGTTAACTAGCAATTATTCTTAAGTGGGTCAGACAGGGAATTGCACACAAAGAGTTTTAGTAAATGTCTTGAATGTGATCTCAGATTGTGTTCCTGAGACACCTGCAAGCTAACAAATTGCAGAGGAGCTGATAAAAAGTCTTTATTAGACTGCACTTAGAGTAATTTCATATTGACACTGAGTCAGTATAAAAGTACCAGAAATTAAAAGTACCCATAAATTGTGAAGATGAAAGAATTCTTTATGTGTAGAGTACGCTTCTCATGCAATGCCAGGCTGAACCTAAACTGGAAGACAAAAGCAAAACAATTTCATTATCAAGAAAAATGTTCCACCTGCAAAAATATACGTGGGAACTAATTAATGCATAAAAGGATGCCTCAATAGTCTTATAAATTTGTAAACATCCATATGCATAGTTATTGCGCCCATTTCTCCAATCTTAACATACAAATGGGACACGACTTTCAAACTGATGTTCACATTCTTCAGGAACTGTCTCTCTAATGATATAAATTAAATATATTTAATAACAGCTTCAATATCCTGCACAAACATTCCATGATGCCATGCTGTCTGAAGATAGATAGTTCCAGAACATTGTTGTTTTTTTTTTTTTTCTTTTAAATCAACACGACACTTAGGTTCTTATGGCAGAGAGTAACTCTCCAAGCTTTTTCATTCACAAGCACATAAACGTACCTTTCAGGACATGCTATTGTTAGATACAGGCCTCTTAACCAGACATTTCATTCTCCTGAGCTTAATTTCTGTACTTTTTATGCTACATGTCCATTTGCATCATCGAAAGACACCTTCCTACTTCCAAGAATGAAGCCATTCTTTGATGTACATTGGAGTGCAACCAGTGATTCCTCACACATCTGAGTGCATAACTAATTACTTCAGTCATACCCGTTCTGTCAACAGGGCACCACACGGTTGAGAATGCATTCCAGTCCCTTCAACAATTTGTTTAGAAAATGCACTCACAGAAACCAATTTTTAAGCAGAGACTCCACTTAGTCTAGTACCTACTGATTTACCATCTTTCATACTTTGCTTTTGTTGCCTCAAACCACAGCCTAAAAAGGAACATATTTCATCTTATCTCTACACTGTTTTTCCCCTAATTTGGTAACTTTGCAAAAAATATTTTCTAAGGTTTCTTTACTTTTTTTTCTTTACTTAAGTAAGTGTAAAACATTTGAAAAAATAAAACTACCTCTTCCTCTACTGTGTGGACATTTGGACTTGTTACAGCACCGAACCTGAATGCCAGGCATCCTCCCTCTGGTTCCTCCACTATTTCTATCTCAGCACTATGATACTTTAATTTTCAAATAAATTTTAGTAGGATCCAAAGGAGAAAACCCTACACAAGTTATAGAGTCGTCAGAAATTACACAACTCTCATTCTTCCTGCTTCCCTGTGCTATGTCCTGCTGGACCCCATGTAGCTCCACAGGGAGAACAAAGGAGTCATACAATTAAAAACTTGGTTAAATTTCTCAAAGCTTATGTACCAGCAGCCAGGTATACTTTGTTATTAGTTGATGTCTTAGTTGTACAAAATGTGCTGAGTTTTAATATATTTTTAAAAATTCCTAGATGGTAACAGGATTACAACCAGACTGTTCTTAAAGGAAATGTCTATGACCATTTGTCTAGTTCTTCAGTCATGTAATTTTTACTGTATATTATGAGAGTTCTTCTGTGGATTAGCTAAACAATACAAATTATTGGATTTATGTTCAAGGCTTGAAAGAGAGAACATCAAAGCCCATCATAAAAATTTATTAAGGACACGATCACATAAAGAGTCTTATTACTCTGATGAGATTTGAACACTTACTTAAACTTTGCAGCCTTGAGACAAGATCACTCAAAGCATGTCACAGTTAAAGCTTCAGAGTTCGGTAGTAGTAAATGTAACCAAAAATAGAGATCCAAATATTGCTTCTGAAAATCTTACTAGGCACTTTAAAATAAACAGAGTTTCAGAGATACCAAAAAAAGTGATGAGAAAGTCCCCAAACTGAAATATCACACCTATACGTTTATGCACAAATGTGGAAAAAATTACTGAAAAAAAAAAAAGAGAAATATATATGTAAACCTTCTGAATGTTTGACAGGAGTGTAAACAACAATTCAGTTATTTATATCAGGATGATTGTGATGGATATTCAATTCACATTTTCCAATGAGAAGGTACTTTGCATAGATTTCCCAACTAATGATACATTACACCCCAAGGGGATGAAAAAGGAAAACCACACTGAAACTCAAATTCACATGCAACATCAGTTTAATGATAAAAAGTCAAGTAGTATGCTGCAAAACAAAAAAGATATGTATATTTATATAAGGGAAAGAAGTCATTTGAACCATTCTAAATGAAAGACAGCAAGCAAGACTACAATTTTCTTTAACTCCTGAATAAAACCCATCCACTGATCATTGCAAAGTACAGCATAATACCCAGACAAAGTGAAATTCAAAACCACAGAAAAAAGGAAAGTTAACAAAAGCAGGAATTTCAGGAGTAAGACATATGCTGGCCGTGTATAGAGACAGCAGTTTGATTCACTCCCTAGCATACAAAAGGCCACGAGGAAGATCAGTCCTTCTGGAAACTCTGGCCAGCAGCTCCATCCTCAGTCCGGCACCTGGCTTTGGGCTTGCTGGTCGACGCGCTCGCTGGACGTCCAGGCCGGCTCTAGCAGGGCAGGCACCTCCTGCCACAGAAGCGGCCACCAAGGCCAGAGAGGCCAAAGCCCCCGGAGTTGATGGGCACTCCCTCCTCACTCAGGATGCTGCCAACGGCAGCCGAGGTGGTGGATCCCACGGCGGTGTTCTGGGGGAAGGAGCTGAGGATGGGGCCGGGCAGGGTCACCACCACGGGAGAGGGCTGGATCACCACGCGGGAGTCCTGGCACTGCCTGACGCAGGGCTCGTTGCAGCTGTTGGCAAGCGGGGTTGGGCCACAGGGACGGCACAGATCGTAGCAGGACATGGCTGTGGGATGGACGGACACCTGGGAGAGAGGGCACGGAAAGCACAGGCAGCACGTGAGAGGCAGCCTGACAGCCGGCTCGGCAAGAGAAAAGGCACCGGCTGGGAAGCGGGGACAGACCCAGTTGGGAAGAAGGGAGATGAATGAAACCTGGTCCCCACATTGACACTGAAAATACAGCCTAAGCTCTTATCCCACCACCCACAGTGGTTGCAGGGAACCAAGAGTTGGAAATACAAACTGTGTTTGTAAAATCTATCCTGAGTCCAGAAGAGAAAGAATTGAAGAGAAAATGTGAGGGAAATGTAGTTGCAGCTCACCTTGTTCAGCAAGGAGGAGAAGGCAAGAGAAGTGGATGAGGGAGCCTGCTCTTGGACTGGCTTTTATACTGGTCCTGACTGCCCCAGGCCCTGAGGCTCCCTTTGCGCATGTCATGTGTTTACCAACAAGCTCATCTTACATGCAAAGAAGCACAATTAAAGAAATGGGGACATTTCTGTTCCCCGCAACACTGCCTTTTCATTTCCCTGTTCAAGACATGACCATTGAAACATACAAGCCCTTTTCAAGTGACATTATTAAAGGAAAATGTTTCTGGGGAAATGACACAGAAGTGGAGGAAGAAAATGAAGGCAAAAAAAAGGAGACAGCACATCTAAAGAGCACCTAACAAATTCCGAACAGTCTGCGTCTTGTTTTGGAGGTTTTGTCTTAAGTAACATGACCTCATTCCCTACTTAACCTGTCAGTGCAGTCAGACTCCCAACAAAGACCCTAAGTGAGGACCAGCCAAGTCCTCAGCCTTCCTTGTCAATAAAATGGGATGCATACCGCTCCAAACAAGGCCACACACTTCAAACCAAATACATCTGATTTCCTCCTCCCCACGGTCCATGCCTCTACTTCAGTTTTGGCTCAACATACTGACAGGACAGCACACACATTGCCAAACACTCAGCAAGATTTCCATGCAACATAGAACATACTGTAGAAGCAAGCAACGGCTAGCGGTGGCAGCAAGCACAGTCAGGAGAGCAGCAGATGTCAGGCTCTCCCCAGGGATGCATGCCAAGGGAAGGACTCAGTGCTCTGCACTGGATCTCCCGGGGCAGAAGCAGAGCTGCATGTCCCCAGGAGGCATGACAGCCCTGCTTGGGGCACCAGCCACATTCCTCTGACAACCCAGCCGGGTCCTCCTTGCAAAGGGTGGACAAAGCATCTTCCTAATTAAGTTGGGACTCCACCAGGGACAGGCAACTCTCTAGTCACAGAGGCCCGGGCCAAATTCCTCACTTCAGAGGGTGACGAGAGCCTAGAGGCCACACTGTGTTCACCCGATGATGACGGTAAAAGTCCATCCAAACAGAAATGTTGTCAGGGCTCAGTGAAAGCCAGCTGCTCCTGGCAGGACAAGAGCCAGGAGAGGAGCACGATTACAAGGCCAGGAGGGCAGCAGCCTCACCAGCACAGGCCCCACTGCACATTACCTGAGCAAGGAAAAGGCAGACACTGCTGCGGCCCTGACTCCATCTCAACCGGCAAGTTCCTGGCGCTGAAGCAGGACAGACATCACGCACGGCAGTCACCCCACAGGTCAGGAGCAGAGCCCAGGGTGGGAGCCCTGCTCAACAGTGCCCAGCGGTTGCTGACCAGGGCCATAACAACCAGACAGAACCAAGAAGTGGCTGGGAATCACTGGGAAACTTGGGTCCCAGATGCAAGGGGGCTCCTGCTCAGGCATAAGCAAACCTGCAAAAGCACAGGAGGCTTCCACTCCTGCCCCCAGACTGAAGGAAGGCTGAAAGGCTCAGGACGGAGCTTAAACAGAGCCCTGGGTCAAAAGGAAGACGGAGGTGGGAGGGAATCCCAGGTGAGGCTCATCAGGGCCACTGGGCCTGTAGTTCCGGCACTCAGGCCCCTGATAGGTTGTCTCCTGGGCACCTGGCACACAGGACACCTGCTCCATCTATCACCACGAGGCAGGGAAAGGACTTCTTCCTTCAAGAAAGGAAGATCACATTCCTTTTATTAGGACTAAGCTGTCTTTTCTTCCAAGGTTCCTTTCAATCACCTCCCTGCCCAGAATATCTGCAGGACGGTCCCGTGCAAGACCTCAATGCTCCCACAGAAAAATGCATATGGCAGTGCCCTGTCGCACCCAGCTCTCTCCATCCCGTGCCGCAGATGCTGCCTTCCCTCCCTGGTGCGCCCTTTTCACTCCACTGTGCTTGTTTGTCAGCTCAGCATGGCTCGTGAGGGTTGGTGGAGACAACATTTGTGAGGGCCCTCCAGCAGAGCAGGGCACAGGGGGGTTGCTGACAGCAGCTGCCTTGAAGGGAGACAGGCCTATAGCCATGGGGAGAGGCACCTTAGGGCTTCCCACAGCATGTGGGGCAGCAGAAATGGTGCCCCTCACTCGATGTGAAGCAGGACCTTGGGGATATGGGGGAAAACATCCCCTGTGGAGGACTAGAGCATGAGGGAAGAAGGGACAGGAAGCTTTTCCTCCCTTGAATTCCCTGTGGCAGGAGCAACCAGCACATCCCACTGGACTTTACCACACAAACTACATCCCAGCTCCATACACACAAGAAAAGTCGCACCCTTCTGTGATATCGGTAGTGTTGTTGATAATCGCAGAAGTGGAAGAATGCACAATTGCTGCATCCTGGAGGGTTTCTTCCTTTCCTTCATCCGGTGAGCAAAGAATAAAAATGGTGACTTGCTAAATGCCTTCACTTCAGGAACATGGGCCACAGGCCATGCAACCTTCCAGCAGTCACTCTGCATCTTTGCCCACATTGATGACTACTTCAGAAAGGGGTCTGGGGATTACAAAACAATGATCTGGACATCTCACCTTGAGCATCTGTCACACATCACACATGTCTTGAAAAGAAAAAAGACCTCACAGGGCCTTGCTGAGGGACAGAAAATCTTGTCAGGAAAAATGGAAGTGGGTTACTTTGGGAAGAGTATATCACATATAAAGCACAGTCCCCTCTAGCTGGCCATTTCAGTGGAACTCCACTCCTCCAAATCCCTCAAAAATATATGAGTCCTGCACATGTCCTCCTGCATGCCATTATCCCTGTATAGCATACCATTTCATACTGGAGAACTTGGTTAGACATACCAGGAGGGAAGGAACAGGAGGAGACATCAAGGTACAATGCAGCATAAACTTTAATGAGTCGAAAGAGAGAAAGCAAGCAGTGCATGCTGGCAGGGACCCGGTCCAGGCTGCTACAAGGGCACCCGACACTCAGGCAGCCCTTCCCAGCTATGGGACACGCGTCTTCCTCCCACACACAGACGGGGAGACGGGGATGAGCAGGGCCCCTCTCTGCTTCCCTCAGGATGAACCCAAGGCACAGGACAGCAGGAGACACAGGGACTCATGATGCAGACAAGAAAGCAGGAGAAGCAGAAGACCTCAGCTGGCCGTGTTTCCAGACCGCACGGGCTGGCACCTGGCTTCCCTCCCTGCTTTGCTGGAGGGCACGAGGGGGCTCAGTGCCTCTGGAAACTCTGGCCAGCAGCTCCGTCCTCAGTCCGGCACCTGGCTTTGGGCTTGCTGGTCGACGCGCTCGCTGGACGTCCAGGCCGGCTCTAGCAGGGCAGGCACCTCCTGCCACAGAAGCGGCCACCAAGGCCAGAGAGGCCAAAGCCCCCGGAGTTGATGGGCACTCCCTCCTCACTCAGGATGCTGCCAACGGCAGCCGAGGTGGTGGATCCCACGGCGGTGTTCTGGGGGAAGGAGCTGAGGATGGGGCCGGGCAGGGTCACCACCACGGGAGAGGGCTGGATCACCACGCGGGAGTCCTGGCACTGCCTGACGCAGGGCTCGTTGCAGCTGTTGGCAAGTGGGGTTGGGCCACAGGGACGGCACAGATCGTAGCAGGACATGGCTGTGGGACAGACGGACACCTGCGAGAGAAGAATTTACAAGCTTGGAATCAGAGACAGACTCAGCGGGGAGAAGGGGGATGAAAGACCACTGATCCCAACGTTTTCCGTTAAAATAAAACCCAAGCTCTTATGCACACTCCAACAGTAGTTGCAGGGAACTAGAGCTGTAAAAAAAACCAGACTGTATTATTAAAATCTATCCTGAGTACAGAAGTCAAAGAGTTGAAGAGAAAGAGTGAGGGAAATGTAGTTACAGCTCACTTTGTTCAGCAAGGAGGAGAAGGCAAGAGAAGTGGATGAGGGAGCCTGCTCTCAGACTGGCTTTTATACTGGTCCAGACCGCCCCAGGCCCTGAGGCTCCCTTTGCGCATGTCATGTGTTTACCAACAAGCTCATCTTACATGCAAAGAAGCACAATTAATGAAATGAGCATTATGCTTCTGTTCCCTGCAACGCTGCCTTTTCATTTCCCTCTTCATGACATGCTCCTTCAGCCACAAAGGCTCCTTTCAAGCGACACTATTAGAGGCCAAAACGTGTCCAGGGGAAAAGACACGTCAGCACAGGCAGATGATGCAGCTGGTGATGAAGAACGTCCCACCTCTCCAGGTGATGCCATGCCCTTGCCCTCCAGGGCCTCACTCTGCAGTGTTTCCTCATGATTGAGGCAGCTCTGCTCCTAACCCTGAGGCTTCAGCCTGGATGGACATCCTCATGCAGGGGTCGGCACCATCAGTCGCTCTCTCTCATGCTCTGCTCACTCACGCTCTATTAGCATCACCTTTCTAGGCAGGGCACCTCTGCTTTTGCCTTCTAAACTCTCTCTCTGAGACTGAGCTTTGATCTCGGCAGAAGTTTGCCTGCCTCTTTTGTCATCTTCTTTCTCTCCTTCATCCCTACGTGCCTAAGCTGCAGACTACCGGTGGTTAAGAAGGAAGGCTATTCCGCTCCCAATTCCCTCCGCTGGAAACCTCTGGCTACGTTGGAGGCACCCCAGCGACAAAGGCACATGCTGACCAATCGATACACGTCCTTCTTCCTGCCTGCCTGTGACTTGACCACAACTTCTGCTTTGTGCTTTGGCTCCCCAGACTGCTGGCACACCAGGCACGACCAAATACTTGGCAGGGCTCCCACAGGATCCCCAGCCCTGCTCAGCAGCAAGCAGGGTCCACGAGTCTTTGCAAGGACAGTCGGAGGAGCACGGCACAAGAGGTGCCTCCTACTCTGCCCGAAGTACGACCAGAGCAGCAGGCCCAAATCACTGCCTGTGGAGGACAAGGGCATGCGAAGGAGGGACTGAGAGCAGAGCGGCTGGGCTGCCACTCCCTCACACTCGCCAGCTGGAGGCCTGGTTGGAGGGACAAAAGGACCACTGCTTGGGCCCTGCCCAGGCACAGCAGCTGAATGGGGCTTCTGCAGGAATTGCAGCACATCTGCTCCAGACTCATTTCCCTTTCAGGACACGGTGGCATATGCAGAAGGACTCTG